GAATGTCATCGAACCCTTGTACGTTTCGAACTTTGTCAGGAATGTTGGTGAGGATAAGATCCAGAGTAATATCTGCTCTAGGTGAAAAGTTAACCAGTTGCCACAAGTAGTTGTCTTTGATTGTTTTGGTGAAGTAGTTGGTAATGAGATCGTTGGATGTAGCTATTCCGGTAGTCCAATCAATATGAGGCAAGTTAAAGTCGCCACAAATGATGACCTGGTCAAATTTGTTGTTGCTTTGAACAAGCTGCAGGGATTTTTTGAGTTGCTTGATGTAGTTCAAGTCCGTGTCAGGTTGTCTGTAGAAAACAATTGCAAGAAGTTTTCCTTATTTTCTGGATGAATTTCACACACTAACATCTCCGCATTGCTTTCAAGATTTTTTCTTCGGACGCTTAGGATGGTATTCCGAACAGCTAACAATGTTCCACCACCAGTTCTCTCAGTCCGGTCGCAACGATGGATGGCAAATTCATTTCCAGGCAAGAGTTCACAGTTTGCGATTTCAGGTTTAAGCCAAGTTTCAGTTACTGCAAGTAGATCAACATCAGTAACGAGCGTTTGAAGTTCAGTAATTTTGTTAGTTAAGCTTCGTGCATTGAAATACAGACATCGCATGTAGTGGATGTTAGTGTCATCATCAGGACAGGGGGATGATTCAGTGGTACGAGGTGGAGTAGTACTGGGACCAGGGTTTGTAGCCACATCACCAGCCAGTAAGGTTAGAAAAACAACATGAGATGGATTGCGATCAATTTTCAGGTTAATTCCGTTACGATAGTTGATGGGATAATTTAATTTTCTTTGTTTTGAGTCACGAGTGGCAGTCCAAACATAACACAGCTTTTCAGGTAAATTCGCAAGTTCAGAATTAATTACAATGCCATTTAAAGTCTTTTCGACAGGAATGTTAGATGGTTTAACTTTTGAATACCACCAGACTATTGTTGCAAAAAGCATAAAGAATTGAACTCTGTCCTTTATCCAGGTTAGTTGCAAGCAATTTCTTCTTTTAATTGGCGGCGCACGCGCACCAATACCGTTCCAAACTTTAAACTTGCGCTGCGTCATCAGCATACTGGTGGCGTATTGACTTGTGTAACGTCTAAAGCAACCGTCCAACTTTTAAAACAGTTTTCAAATTGACAGAAACGCACAACAAAACACAAGAAAACAAGCGCAGAAGCAGACAAAACTTTCTACAAACTTCAAAATCCTGGGGACGAATGTCTTGCCAAACACCAAAGATGATATTTTCGAGGAAAACTTTAGTAAATAAACTCGAAATGCGAAAAAATCGCAGAGCACTTTCGTGCCCGACCGCGCGCGCGCACGCGCGTCACGCTATAGCACCGTCGCTGTCCAAATTCTTTAATATTTTACTCAATGCGGGGTATTTTCCATCTGCGTGGAAATTTGCCAATGTTATACCAATTTTCAAAAAGAATGATCGACAATCAAAAATTAATTATCGCCCAGTTTCTCTTTTGATATGTTTCACTCCTTTTCAGTCTAGCTTTCGGCCAGGACACAGAGTAGATAAGACATACAGAGACGTAACTGACCGTTATAAACACTGCGGAAGATTACGTTATCACGTACCCACTTTTTTTCAGGCGACCGGGCGAAAAATGATCAACTGCGCGTGCTCAGCAAGTTTAAAGTGAGTCGTCATCAGGTCGTCATCCAATCAGATGCATGCATCTAGTAACTTGCCGAGCATGCGCACAAAAAAAGTGGGTACACTAGTTACGTCTCTGTATGTCTCTACTCTGTGGCCAGGAGACTCAACGGTTAATCAACTTGTTCTTATTGTACATAAGATTTATGAAGCTTTCGAACAAGGTAAAGAAGTGCAAGCTGTTTTTTTGGATATGACTAAAGCTTTTGATAAGGTTTGGCTTAGCCTTAGAAATCACAAACCCTCTGTTAGCTTGGATAAAAAGTTATTTAACTGATTGAAAACAGCGTGTTGTTTTTGATGGCCAAGCATCAGAGTGGTCAAATATAGAGGCCGGAGTACCTCAAGGGTCAGTGTTGGGTCCTTTATTGTTTTTGGTTTACATTAATGATATTACCACTAATCTCGAAACTGATTGTTTTCTTTATGCCGATGATACTTCCTTGATTGATGTGGTTGACAATATTAATTATAAAATAACCGTGTTTGGATAAGGCCATCCAAACACGGAAGACTATCGTGTTGTTGTTATTTTATAAAACAATTACTTTATGGTTTCCCTGTTTGGATGGAATGATCCAAACACTTGGGAATGTTGCTCGAGTTAAGAAAAGCGGGCAAAATCACTCGCCTTCGGCTCGTGTTTCGCTCGCTTTTCTTAACCCTCGCAACATTCCCGCGTGTTTGGATCAGGCCATTCAAACACGGAAACCATAAAGTAATTGTATATTCTTCGTCTGCTAAACTTAATAGTGATTAGATAAAATAGAAAAATGGGCGAGGGATTGGTTTGTCACTATCAATTCAAGTAAGACAGAATCGATGATTTTTTCGACTAAACGTAATAAGCCACAGCATCCCGACATATATTTTGATAATAAAGTGATTAAACTTGTCCCAAATCATCCAGTGGCGTGCTGGCAGGGGGGGCGAGGGACCACGCCCCACCCCCCAGCTGGCAATTCTTGGGGGGCGCAGAAATGAAAACGGGGCGCGTATTCCGCCGAACTTTGAAAGTGGGTGGGAAAAAACGCATTTGAAAAAATATAGTTACTTCCACCAAGAAAAAATGTATTTATAGCCTTATTAAATTACAGACTATTTTGTCTAACCAGCCAATATTGCTACCTCACACAAAACATCAATTTCTGAACATCAATTTCTGATATTTCTTGAAAGCTAGGGAGCCCATTAACTGTATGGTGCATGTATATCACTGAAAAAACTATCCGGTAAAATACTCGATTGAGGAATCTTATTCGCAAGTTTTTCTCCTTGTTTTAAGTAATTTAAAACACTTGTAGTCGTATTTTATCATATTTAAAATTCTCATACGCTCTGCACACTCGAATTTTAAATATGATAAAATTCTTCTACGCGTTTTAAATAGTACATCAGTGGAAACCGTTTTTAGGATCGAACAAAAAATAAATGCGCTATTTACCGTTAAGGGACCGGTCATTTATTAGAGGGAAGGCTGGTGCAAATGGGAAGGGGTCATACCTTTTTGTGCACTTGAAAATGGGGGGTTGCATAAAATTCTGCAACCATTTTTGGGGGGTCATACATTTTTGTGCATCCGATTTTCCTATATATTCTACAAAAGAAAACAGCACTAAAGGGATCAACCACAATGAAACAAAAGTGGGGCAAAACCAAGCTAGTTGAGCAATATTCTCTTCTCAGTCGTGCAGTATTGGGTTATTATAAAAATAAATGGGATAAATTCTGCGAATTTTGCGGGAAATAATGTAAATTATGCAATGTTTGGGAAAGTTTATTTAATGTTCCGAAAAAATTGGGTGTGTCCGAAAAAATTTTGGACCCCTAAAATGGTACACTGACCGAAATTTTTTTGGCGACGGGGGGGGGGCAGGTCGTCAAAATTTATTGTACCGGGAAAAAAAAATTATAGATATTGTAACTGAGGGTGGGCCATGCCATTTCATGTGCACTCCCTTGGGGGGCCACATTATTTTATGCAGTGACAGGAGCAGGGCCATATGAAATTATGTTGAGGAAAATGAAAATCCACCAGCCCACCCCCCCTCTAATAAATGACCGATCCCTAAGATCGGATCCGTTCATGAAAAATATTTTTTCTCGGTCCTACATGCAAGCGTCACGCGACCTCTAGTCTCGGACGTACATGACCTACCAGCAGTTAAAATAACATATATTATAAATTTTAAAAGTTATTTAATTGTGTGTGCGTAAAAGAGTCCATCATAATGTTAACGCACACACACAAATGTTAAGAATTTTAAAAGAAATAATTTAATTGTAAATTAAATACAATTATTATATACCAATAATCAAAGTCGCATTTTTCTAGTGTTTTATTGGTCGAGAGCATATCTCGCAACAGCGCGGGGGGGAAACAATACGTTATCGACCGGCGAATAACGAAAAAAAATCACATGCGCCATCACGTGAAGGTGCGACCTTTGGACATACCTAGTAATTTAAACTTTTGCTTTAAGTAACTGCAGTGTTAAATTTAATGTTTTAACAATAAAATATTTCATGTATTTACATTCATTTGTTCTTTAATTTGTTGTTTCTTTGACTATTGATATATAATAAAACACTTATTTACTGAAACCTCGGGAAAGCAGTGTGTTTTGTGGACCCTCGACCGTCGATGTTTCCCTCGGCTTCGCCTCGGGAAACATCGACTGTCTCGGGTCCACAAAACACACTGTTTCCCTCGGTCTCAGTAAATAAGTGATAATTATACTTCATTAAAAAAAGGATAGGATTAAACTGAACAAATTATTACCACAAGACTTTTAATAAAAAATGGGGATGTAATTTGCGTCGTCGTTACAGCTTGGCATTCCAGGAAAAAGATCTATATGATGGGCTCTAACAGCTGAAAACAATCTGCTCACTTCAATACTGTTGACCAAGCCCGGCTTAATAGGAATGTTTGGCGCAAAAAAGGTAGTGCTTCTAGTGAACGATGTGGATAATGCGACAGAATGACAACACACTGCTGTCCACAAGAACGCCGGTACATTAGCTCTATACTCTCCTCCGAATTTGAATGATCCTCCCATAAAATTACTGAACCCTGGCTGACAAATAAACCTCCGTTCGTTTCCTGGATATGTTGAAGGTATGGAACCGACAATGACATGCAGTGGAGCTCTTCTGCAGTTGCTACGTGCCCATTCAATAAGTGTATTTTCGAATTTGTTCCACCTTCCCGAATTCAACGTTGCAAACTGTGGAACTGCATTCGTAAATACGAACGTCTGGATAGGCCTTTCTGATGAACCACGACCATACTGTGCAGCAATCAAATGACCTCTGTGAATAGGTGATTTCACTGGTTTACCTGAAACTGGACATGCAGAGAAAGGTGCAATCGTTTTTTTAGTTATTGCTTCATACCATCTCTTTTCAAAGTAGTAACGATTGCCCGACGTTTCGTAGCATGGTATGCGTTGCAAAGGCATACGATAATCATTATCATTTTGTTGAAAATTATGTAGAATTAATGCGCTTGGCTTAAATTTGTTACCTGGTCTCGGTTTTGCAGTTGATTCATACTGATCAGCAGTCAAAATAGCCGTAGCAGCAAGAGGAATGCGATTTTCACAGTCATATATAATGCCAAAATTGCCAGGCTCACAAATTTGAGTAACCTGTGAAGTTGGCATAGCATAAGATCTCACGTTTGGGATGAACCTTTCCAGATGTCTTGCTGAACCACTAAAGGCATCAAATGTATTTGTACTGGCATCATATTTGCAAGCATTGATGAAATTACAAGCACAGCTATTCATGAAACCATTTCCAGTGCACTGAGCTTGGATCGTCGAGAAATGGATCAAATAAAGATTCACCCACAACATGAAGTAATTTATTCCAGAGGTCATTCTTACAATCTTTATCATCTAAAACAGTTACGGTAAATTATATTTAATGATATTGTTACTATTAGCACCGTGACATAGAATAAGAAATGAATAGAAGGGCAACTTGAGTCGGAACCTTTGAAGTTTTTGAAGCCGCGCATGTCGCCTCGTGCATACCGGAAATTGCCCGCTCTAATTACTCGCAGCCAGTAAAGCCAGTCAATTTGTTATAGATTTGTATTGCAGAATGGCCATTTGGCAGAATAAATCGACTATTATATTTTTCGTAAACGAACAAGGGCGTCAATCCATCCCAAAAAGTGGGGGGGGGGGGACGGACTCCAAATTAGGAAGGTCCGGAGGTATGCAATCCAAAATTTTTTTTAAATTTTGGTACACTAAACCAAATTTCCAGCGTTTTGAAGGCACTTATAACGTTATAGTACAATGTGCATGAAATCCACTTTTAAATTAACCATGTAACGCTAAAAACAACGTTGTGCAATTGGGATGTATAGCACATCAAAAGTTGTTAATTATATTAGTTGTCAGTTATATTAACTAGATTAGTGTGAGCTTGAATATGTTATATTTTTAAAAATGACAATAAATATTTGAATCGCAAAATGAAATGTTTTCTGCAAAAATTATATCAATTGTACATACATGATACAATGATCGAAAAAAAACGAAAACAAATGTGAATAAGTTTATATCAAATGATCAATGTGTATGAGGCACAATGTTGTGATCATCGACTTGAGCTCGTTTGTTGCCTTTACAATTAGGTTTTCATTCCCAGAACTATTCGAAGGTTCCGAATAGATTTCTTCTAATTTCGGATTTTCGAACAAACAATTTTGCAAGTTCATGTACATTGACGTTGTCTAACTGTTCCTTATGTACATGGCAGATAGAAATATGGTTAAGTCTACGCTGGGTCATGGTGGTTCGGAGCCATGTTTTTAGTCGTCGCAATGCAGAAAAGCTGCGTTCACATTCGCATGACGAAATTGGACACCCAGTAGAAGTTTCAGTAGAACCAGCACTTGGGGAAACAATAAGCGCACTGCATGTTCCATACTCCGATAAGTGACTTTTGCTCATGCAACGATTCGGCCTTGTATGTTTGCTTGAACATTTCTAGCTGAATTGGCAAAGTAAGACTATCAAGTTCAGGATACTTTGACACCACATCTTTGTCAACTTTCCCAGATGTTAACAGCGTCTCTAGCTTCAAGTACTGTGCTAGGCCAGATTTGTCAGGGTCATACCTGTCTGACAGACCTGTTACTATGACATCGATGAACTCGAAATACTGCTTCCTGTAGTATTCTTCACAGCTGTTAGGCCGATACTCAGCTGCTTCGCCTGTGTATCGGCTTGGGGGGACTCGTATCCGAGGCACTTCCAGTGGATCCAGTTGGTATTCTTCACATTTTTCTTCAGCAGCAGAGAATAATTCATGGAATGCTTCATCTGTGCGCTGAGCGCTGATATGTGTTGATGATGTCTTAACAGCTTCTAACATTCCAGAGACATTTGCTGACTTTGCTTGAAGTGCGCTATTCAACTGTTCCAGGATCGCCACTGGCTTAGCTGCCATCTTCAATCCGAGAAAGACTTTCCCCTTCTGAAACCGATCAAGTAAACCGTTTGCTTTTGTAGCAGTGTCCGTTTTACCACGTGCCATTTCTTGCAAACTTTGGAGAATAGCAGGGTACTGATCAAATGCTGACTGTATGGCTGCTAGTCTGCATAACCACCTGGTGGCACAAACGGGCTTGATCGCTGTGGGATGCACATTGTCATCTTCGGTTGATTCACAAATTGTCAGGAATATCGCTTTGTACTTGCCAGATCTCTTCATAAGCACACCTAGCTCATTCAACCACTGCAGAGAATCTCGAATTAATTGACAAGATGTTACAGCATGTTGCATTACAAGATTTGAAGCATGTGATCCGCAGTGGAAAAAGAATGTTAGTGGTTGTCGTTCTTGCACCCTTGCCTTACATCCAGAGTAACAACCACTCATGTTAGCGGCACCATCATATGTTTGAGCACGCATATTGCTTATGGATAATCCACTCCGAGCCAGGACATCAAAGATCGTACGAGCAAGAACGTCACCGGTATTAAAGGGAACTTCATACAGACCGATAAAGACACAGACAGACAACTTCCCACACAAAATAAATTTGATTAATTGCTCGCGACTTTGAAATTTATACTTTTTTAAATAAAATTTGATGCAATCCAAAACCTGTCCTGATAAGATTTGACATAAACCTCGAAAATTGAAATAAATAACACAGTATACGCGATCGACTGTCAGCATTTCATTCATTGTCAGACTGTAGCTCACACAACAATATCAAATTTCTCCCTAAATATTCGTTTCTTTCTATATGCTAGCCACAATAATAATTTAGGCTTACATTGCCTCTGCAGGCAGTTGTAGTAGTTTGATATTCCAATCCTTTGTTTCCGAAAAATAGTCGATTTTGTGATCAAAATGTACATTTCGTGATACAAATCCCTATAGTTGCACTGACTGGCTTTACTGGCTGTGAGCTTGAGAGATCCCGCGCGTGCGCACTGAAATTGGTTACGCGTTGTACACGCGAGTTGCCCTTCTATTCGTTTCTTATTCTATGACCGTGATGTTTAAAGTGGAAGTCAAGTCAGTTCTGCGCATCAGTTCTGCTCATAACAATGTGAAGACTTCTGATATAAACATTGCCCAAATTTCGAATGTTTCGAATTTTTCTGAACATAAACTCTATTTCATTATTATTATTATTATTAAATTTGTCACAAATATTTACAATGACACTGATAAACAATATACATAACAAGCTACAAGACAACACACGTGACTGGAATGTGGAACAGGACTTACGTCCCAATTAATACCTCACCCCGTATATACTTCATAGGCACTTTCTCGGTGTGAGAACAAACGAAAGCTTAACACTAGTCTGACCTTGATCATTATTTAAATTCTAACTGATTTACGGTTGTTCGTACACCGAGCTAGTGAGTGAACTTTACTGAACTAAACTAAACTAAACTAAACTAAATACTTAGTACTTATATTACAAACATTTTCTTCACAAAACTAAGTATTAGCTACGGTTATTAGGAATTGCTTTCCTGAAACTTTCACCTCTGTTCATATTAAATAATTTTGTGTTTTAATTTAAATCAAGGATCACACAAGAGGTTTTTGATAATACTTTTATTTTAGCTACGTTTCGGATAGTTTACTATCCGTCCTCAAGCTAACAAATTGTTCTTACATTTGACGTGTACAATTTTTAAACGTTCATCTTACGCAAGCTAATTTAAATTAAACTGCGTGCGCGCACGCGCGCGCTCGTTTTCCTTAATAAAGTATTTGTTTAATATTGGTCTCCAAGTCATCAATGATTCAAAACTGTTTAAAACTTTCTTTTTGTTATGCCTTACCCTAAGAGACTCAATTCCTTCTATAACTTTCCGCTGTCTTAATCTATACTCATTTCTCAATATTCGCGTGTTCTCCCAGTCTATTTCATCCGTACAGTCTATACTGTGCCTTGCTAAACCTCCGTCTTCTTTCCCCATTCGTTCTTCTGCCACCGCCATTCGTCCATTTCTCATATCCTCGTTTGTTAATCTTACTTTGCTCTCGTGTTCCTTCTTTCTCACCTTAAACAACCTCGACGTTTCTCCTATACATATACCGCTTTCTTGCACTTGCATGGAATCTCGTAAACAACAGATTTTTGTTTTTCGCCAAGTGGTTGTTGAGCTCTCGCCTTCAATTCTTTTATTTTATTTTATTTCCTGGTTTAAATGTCGTCCGAAATGAATGTTTGGAAGCTAATCTTTTCAGTTGTTCCGATAAGCCCTGGATGTAAGGTACAATTATCATTCCTCGATACTCTTGCTCTTCCGACTCATTCCTTTCGCGTTTATCCTCTCGCATGTATTCTCGACATTTAAACCAGGAAATAAAATAAAAGAATTGAAGGCGAGAGCTCAACAACCACTTGGCGAAAAACAAAAATCTGTTGTTTACGAGATCCCATGCAAGTGCAAGAAAGCGGTATATGTAGGAGAAACGTCGAGGTTGTTTAAGGTGAGAAAGAAGGAACACGAGAGCAAAGTAAGATTAACAAACGAGGATATGAGAAATGGACGAATGGCGGTGGCAGAAGAACGAATGGGGAAAGAAGACGGAGGTTTAGCAAGGCACAGTATAGACTGTACGGATGAAATAGACTGGGAGAACACGCGAATATTGAGAAATGAGTATAGATTAAGACAGCGGAAAGTTATAGAAGGAATTGAGTCTCTTAGGGTAAGGCATAACAAAAAGAAAGTTTTAAACAGTTTTGAATCATTGATGACTTGGAGACCAATATTAAACAAATACTTTATTAAGGAAAACGAGCGCGCGCGTGCGCGCACGCAGTTTAATTTAAATTAGCTTGCGTAAGACGAACGTTTAAAAATTGTACACGTCAAATGTAAGAACAATTTGTTAGCCTGAGGACGGATAGTAAACTATCCGAAACGTAGCTAAAATAAAAGTATTATCAAAAACCTCTTGTGTGATCCTTGATTTAAATTAAAACACAAGGTTATTAGGAAGTTTGTATGAATTTGACTTGATACTATATAAGTTATTTAAACGAATTTTAAACGAACATAAACTACTGGATTTCTTAATTTCAGTTGGTAGGCTGTTCCAAAGTTTTGCTGATCTAATAAAGTAAGAGTTTTGAAAGTATTCCATATTCATATAGAAGCATAGCGAATCAAAATAGTGTTAGATATTCAGACAGTACATCATATTTTAAAAAATACAGCAGTTCAAAATGTAAACACACCGTTTGTTTACATACGGACTTGGCTTCCACTTTAATGGTTATTTTAAAACCTAATTAAATTATTACACAAGACGTACTTAATTAATATTAAAGCAGGGCATTTTTTAACTATATAACTGGCGGGGCAAAGCCCCCCCCCCAGCCCCCATGGTGCCCCCCCCACTCAACTATTCCCCCCCCTTCAGTCAAAGTCCCTTTTCTCTAAAATACAAGCGAAACATGGAATTTAGAAGGAAGGTTTGATATTCTAGTAACTGAAATTTGCTTTGTGAATCTTATGTCCTGTTTTTTTATCTTTAACTCTAAACATTGTGTTGTAAATACCTTATTAGATTTTAAACATTTTCCAGTGGATTGCATTTCCCAGACCCTATAGATATGAGTTGTTGGAAGGCTTGGCTAATCAAGTTAGTGACCGCGGGGGGCAACAGGCCCCCAACCCAGTGTTTTATAAGGAGGGGAATAATTTTGGCCACCCACCAAAAAAACCCAATTGATTTCGAAACTAGAAGTATTTCAAATCGTGTATATATATAATGAAATATCTATAATCGATATTTTGATAACAACATTTCTCGCAATATCCATCCTCAGTCACGGATAGCATAGACTCACAAATCATAATGAACGAATTAATGAAAGAGCCTGACAAAAGAGGTAGAGAAGACTTTGAAAATGCCATTTCCGACAATTTAGAGACGCAAAATTTTTAAAATTTTCCCGCTCTGTGCCAACCATGGTGGCGCTTAGTGGGAGTTGGGCCCACTAAGTTTATCAAGTTGGCTCCCTGAGTGACGGCCAAGTTGTGGTATCTACATGCATAAACATACTATGCAAGTATTTAACTGAAGGTTCAGTCTACCTACAGCATAATGTAATGCTGTATATCCAAAAAACTGTTTCAGAAAATGCAGGGAATTGCAATCATAGGCCTGGGGTAGAAAAATACAAACATTTTCTGGGGGAGAATACCCAAAGACCCCCCTATTATTAAATACGATACCACACCAAACTTTCTATTACCAACAAACCATCTATCATTTCTCCACACTCGGTATAGTATGGTCCCTTTTTGTAGATGCCCCCCCCCCACTGACGTATTCTTAAAAAATGCCCTGTATTAAAGCCTTTCAACCCGAGCATTGTGGGGTTCCACAGGGTTCAATCCTTGGCCTCCTATTATTTGGCATCTTTGAACAATTGCAAGATCCTTATTTATGTTGATGATACAAATATATTTTAGTCTTTAAACGTTATAATTTTGTCTTTTCGAAATAGCTTACATTTTGTTTACGCCGCCATCTTGTCTTTCTCCCATATCCTACTTTATCCCACAGTATCCCTCAATGTATCTACTGTCCGTGACTAATCCTAAGTGTCCTTATTAATCCTAACTTAAACTGTTCAACCTAATATAAATAATAATAATAAAGTATATCGGTTCATCATCCCCATGTTTATATCAGTTTTCATGAATAGTTTCATGATACGTATCTAAATGTATCTTGGATTGGGGGTCTTTTTCCGCTCGCTACGTCTCAGTGTTGGTGCAGTTTCTCCGCTTTTCTCAATCCCGAGATCTTCCGCCACGTCTCCTTCATCTCCTACTGGCCACTGAACATCTTCGACTTCGATATAGTTTGGTTCTATAAATGGTTTGACGTCATCTGGGTGACGGCACAACGAAAACCCGTTTTCTTGATGTTCGACAATGAGTTTGTTTCCTTCGTCATTGATGTCGATGATTTTGAATGGTTCACCGAGGAAAACGGGATCAAACTTCCTCGATTTTTGGTAATTTCTAACACGAACCTTGTCACCAATGTTGAAATTTGATTTCTTCCTGTATTTAGAAGAGTTTATTTTTTCTTCGTTATCAATTTTCTTTTGTTTGTCTGCTTCCCGAGCTCTTCTTACGTCTTCTTCGGTTGCGTATGTTCTCGGAAAGTCGTAGCGCTGTCCATCTCGGAACATCATGGCTGCTGGAGGGATACCCGTTGCTTGGTGAGGTGTATGTCTATAGTTGTTTAGTGTTATCTCCAATGTTTCTTTTTCAGGAGCCCTGGTTTGATATGCAATTTTCATGGCCTTTCCCAAAGGACGCATAAACGTTTCAACTGGATTGGAGGATGGGTGAAGTGGTGGAGCCTTCTGTAATTTGATGGACTTACTCGTTGCGAAGTCGTGCATCTGAGCGCCGTTGAAGGGAGGCCCGTTATCGGAAATTTGGACCTCGGGGTTTCCGTACGTTGCATAAATCTCGCTGAGAGCTGGTAAAACTTTGTCTGCCTTTGTCGATGTAACCAGTTTTGCTGCTGGAAATCGTGATGCTAAGTCTTGTACGACGACCACGTGTTTAGATGTTGGCATCGGGCCAAATAGGTCGACTGATACAGTATCCCAGCATTTCTCGGGAACCCGGTGTGGTTTGATGGGTTCTTTTGTCTTTTTGTCGATGAACATACTGCAGTGGTTGCATGATTTGACGAATTCTTCTATTTTCTTACTCATATTGTGGAAAAAAAAATGATATCTGAGTCGTCGTTCAAGTCCACTTTGGCCAGGGTGAGCTCCTTTGTGTGCCAGTCGGATGGCTGTATCTTGGAGGTTACTTGGAAGTACGATCTTTTCGCCTTTCAGAATAATACCATTTGCGGTCATCGTAAGCTTTGGAAGTACTTTCTGGAAGTACGACTCTGTTTTTTCGATCCAGGTTAACCCCTGGTTGACGAGTGTTGCAATCTTTTTGAGGGTTGGATCGTTCTGGGTAGCTTGTGCGATAGTTCCAATACCCATGCAGTCAATGATCGGGGTGGTGTGAAGCATATACAGTAGGTTGTTGAGGTCGTCGGCTTCTTGCCGTTCCTCGCGCGTCAGCTTCTCGATTGGTTTTGCATGTCGTGAGAGGTAGTCGGATTGGTTGATTTTCCCACGCTGATATGTCACGGTAAAACGTATGTCTTGGTGGCGGAGCTTGATTCTTTCAGTTCGGATGGACCCTTGGCGCTTTCCATTGAAAACCGAGCAGAGAGGTTGGTGATCCGTTATCACTTGGATCTTGGTAGGGAAACCCACGATATACTGTCGAAATCTTCTCAAAGCAAAATCGATTGCGAGTGCCTCCAAGTCAATTTGCGGATATCTTTGCTCTGCTGCGTTGGTCGTTCTCGATGCTATCGCCACTGGTCGTGCGTTCTCGATGCTGTCTCCTTGTGCTAACATCGCCCCGAGCCCTGTCTGGTGTGCATCCGTAAATAGAAACGTTTGTGTACTCATCTCGAGGTATTGAAGCAGCGTGTTTGCTTGAATCTCGCAATCAGGACTTCGTAGGCTGTTTGGTATTCTGTGTTAATTCTCTCAGTTTAGCCGCTAACTGAGCGACGTTGGGGATGAAATCTGAGTTGGACTGCATCATACACAGGAAACTGGTCAACTCTTCCTTGGATTGTGGTGGTGTCATATGGTCAAGAGCTTCAACTTTGGCAGGATCGGGTCGTACGCCGTCTGATCCAATACGTAGGCCCCAGAATCCGATTTCTGGTACTCCGAACGTGCACTTATCCGGGTTTAGTGTAATACCGGCGTTTGATATGGCGTTCATGACGGCTTCGATTGCTTCGTTGTGTTCTGCGTTTGTTGTGGTTGCCACGATTATGTCATCATGGATAAGGTGTGCTTGGGGGATGTTTGCAAACAAAGGTTGAAGAGCCATATTAAGTTTGTGCAGGCTTTACTCCCATGGTGAGACGTTTATATCGGTATAGTTTGTCATTTGCGTGGAAGACTGTCAAATATCTCGAGTCCGGGTGCAGTTCTAGTTGCCAGAAAGCCGATTTGAAATCCATCTTTGAAAACACACTTGCTCCACTGAGCTTGGCTTTGATGTCTTCTTGCCGGGGGATGGGTAAGTTGGACGATTGTATGGCTTTGTTGACGTTACGAGCGTCAAGTGTCATACGTATTGCTCCGTCAGCTTTCGGCGCTATCACGGCATTGGAGATCCATGGAGCTGGTTTGGTGGCTGGGTGTTCCTCGATTACGTCTTGTTTAATCATCTTTTCGATTTCTTTTGTGACCCGCTCTTTCAGGTGGTATGGCACTGGTCTGGCAGGTGTGGTGACTGGCTTGATGCTGGTGTCTACATGTAGCTTGACTTGGTGGTTCTTCAACTTCCCCAAGCCTTCGAAATTTTGTGGGAACTGTTGCAAAATGTTTTGCAGTGTTTCTTTATTGTCAGTCGAGTGTATCATTTGTACAGGTTGAAAAACTGTTGGTTTGGCTTCAAACTTTATGATACCGAGCTCTTCTGCGATTCGTCCTGCAAGTACCGGTTCGCAGGGGTTGTCGATAATGTGCCATTCTACTGGGATGGATGAATTTCCGAACGTTACGGCGCATTTGGTGGTGCCAGATATTGGTATGGGTGGGCTGTTGTATGGTTTGATTTTAGCTTGGGTTTTGACCATTCTCGAAAGAAGATTCCATCGTTTGGCTTCTGCCTTTCCGCAAACACTAATACTTGCCCCAGTGTCTGCTAAGACAGTAGCAAGGCTATTGTTGACAATGACTTGCACTTTGAAATCTTCCTTCATTCTTAGACTGGTATGGTGTTGTTGGTATGGGTTAGTATCGGTGACTCTGAAGATGTTGATGTTGTAGATACCAGAGTCTTCGGCATCTTCCTCATGTCGAGGCTGTGATTCTGGGTTGATGGTTGTCAGTTCTCTGACAGCTTTCTTTTTTCTGCAAACAGACTCGTAATGTCCAATTGTATCGCAGAAATTGCATTTGCTGGTTTTCGCTCTACAGGTTTTGACATGTTCTATTATAGATGCTTTGATGTCTTGTCCGCAGTAGTAGCATGCTCGTGGTTTTCCTGTTTGCTGTTTCTTTTTCAAGTTTTTGTAAGAATATTTCCCCATTTTGTTAATTGGGTTCTCATTATTTAACTCATTAACCCCTTTAGTTGCACTTTCGATTTGCATTCCTTCTTTGCGTAGTTTTGGTAAGTCCCAAGAGTTCTTGAGGGCTTCTTCTCTGATCTTGTCATGGATTGTCCCGATAATTATCTGATCTCGTATTGCTGTATCTTCTGCCGTGCAGTCATCATTTTGACATTTGAAGTTGCAGTGTTGGGCTTCTTTGTACACACGATTACAGAAAGCAGGGAATGCCTCTTGTGTAGCTTGAGTAAGTGTGCGAAACTTGTGATTCTTAAGTGTAAGGTTTTCTGTTGGCTTATAATATGCTTGGATTTGGGCAACGAAATACTCCCATGTCGCCTGTGCTCTTTTTGTTACATCGGGTTCGGCAACTTGCCAATCCGCGTACATTCGTCTCGAAGAGAACATTCCAAGAAATTTTGCAACTCGATCTTTTGATCTCCACTCATTCCTGAGCGTATCGTATTGTTCCAGAGTTGGTTTGGCTTCTTCGTTGGCTAGTTTCCATCGTTCAATTGCAGCGTCAATTGACACTTTTGGTGGATCAGGGTATTGTGCTTCGTAGCGTAGGTAGAATGATTGTATAAAGTCATTAAACGCTTTTAGAGTATCGTCTGGGTGAAGATCTGGGTCGAAGTGAAGTGTATTGCCACTAGCCATTGTAGTTTTGATGTTGATGTTTATATGATATATTAACACGATATATTCACTTACGTGGCCGATGAATTTGTCTTCTTACGAGGCGTGTAGAGGCCGGAATTGTATTAGAATGTGTGTATTGGTTTTCTTTTTGTTTTAGCTTTTTAATCCTCGTCGCCAAATATATTTTAGTCTTTAAACGTTATAATTTTGTCTTTTCGAAATAGCTTACATTTTGTTTACGCCGCCATCTTGTTTTCTCCCATATCCTACTTTATCCCACAGTATCCCTCAATATATCTACTGTCCGTGACTAATCCTAAGCGTCGTTATTAATCCTAACTTAAACTGTTCAACCTAATATAAATAATAATAATAAAGTATATCGGTTCATCAGATACCGTGATTTATTACTCTCATAAAGCCATTGAAGTAATAGAACAGAAATTACAGGAAGACTTGGCCAACATCACATCGTGGCTTCAACAAAATGAACTAATTATCAATATGAAAAAAGAGAAAACAGAAAGTATGCTATTTGGAACTGGAAAACGGCTGTCTTGAAGGTTAACTTTACGTCACACTATGTATATCTTGGAGTTCACTTATAGTCAAGCCTAAACATGAATGATCACGTGAATAAGGCGTTTAGGAAAGCTTCAAGATATCTTAAACTTTTGGCAAAAACTCGCTCTTTCCTTTCTACGAAAGCCTCTCTGGATATATATCGGGCTATGGTAATTCCTGTGCTAACCTATTGTTCTTTAGTATGTACGTGCTCTACGACCACACAAAAGAAACAGCTCGAGAGTTTTGAGAAACGAACGGCTAGAATCATATTCAGTGGAACGCCAGAGAAACAAGGGTCAAATAGAATGCCTTCAATAAAAACTATCCAAAAGAAGAAATCCTGCATATTGACTTTTAGATGTTTAAACAATGATGTGTGTCAAAACGTCTTAAATTATTTCACTTTGATTGATTCTAAAGTAGCTACTAGAATTGGGTTTTAGAATAAAACTCCCGAAAGTGAAAGTTGAAACTGCAAAGAAAGGTTTCTACTTCAACGGAGGAAAACTTTATAATGAATTACCTCTAGAAATTCGTAAATCTGATACTTTGAGACTTTTTACGAAGGAACTGAGTAAGCACTTAGCAATGTAGTGCCTACGAATGACTTTAAATTAATTTTTAATCGTAAAATTAATGTTAGTACGTATAAAGATGGACTTTTTAGCTTTTTTGTTAGATTATTAGTAAACAGTACAGGACCTCTGTTAATAACAGTTTGTAATTTTTCACATAACTGATAGAGTTTTTATCCTGTATATAAATTCGTTTAATGATTATAATAATAATAAAAAAGTTCTATTATATAATTCACTCATGACCTTCAAAACATTCTCTGCTGTTCAGTGGTCTTCGATATATGATTGACCTCTTTGCTACAGTAACTTTTTTATTAACTTTACAGTCATATTGTATACTAGAAATACATACATGCAACAACCCCTCGCCTATATTTTCCAAACATTGTTTCAATATGAAGTATTCGCACTTACGCCAACACTGAACCACAGAATAAATCACACAGAAGGCCAACTTCTTGCTTTTTCCTATGATTTTCCAATGATTTTGGCGTAACCGTAATTCGTTATCAAAATGCTGACGCCATGGTCCTAGCCAGTGCGCGTTAGAGAGGCATTTCCCCCCACTGAACTATATAACATGAAAGGTTGACTCGAGCTCAAAAAGTGAAGCCGAACACGGCGGAAATTGAAGGCATTCTTGCGCGTCTTTCTCAGTCCCCTTACGTGCGTGGTCAACTAAACTTTTATATTTTTCTTTATTTTTCGAATAAAAACTTGGCAAAAACAGACGAAATTTGAATGACAAGTTGAATTCTGATGTTTTGTTTGGGTTCATTTCTAAATTTTAATTATTATTTATTGAAAAGATGCGATATTTGAGTGGAAAGAAAGCAAAATAGCGCAGGATTGTTGTTTTTGTAGATGCCAAAGAGTGACAAAACAAAACACAAATGTCACTCAATCTTTTAAAACATCTGTATTGCCCCTATTGACAAGAGTTTCACACACATAAATAACTCATTAAAATAAACAGTTTAAGTTTCTAAGGCAACAGTCAAAGTGATTTTATTAAATAGAAAATAAAAAAACAAAATTTTCTTACATGTATGGAATTAAATTGGCTAAAAACTGCCTCGAAAACTGCAGTTAAAAAGCAGTTTTGAATCAGGAATTTGGACTAAAATAAGCTAAATAATGGTGCGAAAACTGAAAAGCACCATAAAAACAAAAAAGCGAAACAACCAAAGCAAAAAAAAATTCCCAATTTATAAAAATACAGATTTATTCAAAAAAACAAAAAAGTTTGAAATTAGTTGTTGAATTCGCAACGAAAAATACAGATTTACTCACACATACAGTGGGAGAATGCAGTAGACAGATCAATTAGATGAAGGAAATCAGGTTTATGGGCGGACCATTAGAAATCCCGGGAGGGGGGGGGTATAAAATTTTTGCGGCACGAATTTCTTTTCAGTCTCATGTCTCTGCAGGAATTTTTTTTAATGCATTTAACCTCTGCACGAATTTTTTTTCAAGACTACTTGTACTTTGCTGTTTGTTTGCACGTATTTTTTTTCTCTGACGTAATGCCTGCACGAATTTT